GAGCAGCCATTAATTTGTAAAACTTGTAGAAAATTCATTTTTAATCCAAATGAAATGAACAAAGTTTCTATAGAACCAGCAAATAGTTATCTTCAACATAGTAAAATAAAATTTGGCACCTTTTGTAGAGAACATAGATCAAAACCTTAACTTAGTGAAATAAGAATTTAAACACATAGTGTTGTTTAAGTAATACATAAACATGTATCAGTATATATACACTTTAGGTCTAATTAAACCTAAATAAAAACTTGATTGACCAGTGAAGCCATAGTTCCATCCTCATCCACTAAAACTTAGAAGAACTTAGCTCATATAACAATTTCTAGGTTAATATAATATATTGCTAGTCTAGATTAGAGCATATCTAGTTTATAAAATATGAACCATAGTAGTAAAGATCATAAACATGTGAACTAAAAATGTTTTAGTTAACCAAATTATTCCTTTTATTCAACTTAAACATGAAGTAGCAAGTTCTGAACCTACAACTTGAGAGTCATGCACATATAAAACACTATATGCCTAAAACACGTTGTAACTTGTAAAATCTATAAGAAAATCATTATAACTCCAAAAATTGTGAAACCAAATGTATTAGTCTTAGAAAACACACCTCTACACCTCTGTGAAGTCTAATATAATAAAAATCACTTTACAAAAGTATTTCATAACACTACCTAAGACTATACTACTATAAACCGATAAAACTTCTAAAATTCATAACTCCCAAATCCAAATGGAATAAGATAAAATAGGAATTATTTCACCTAAATTCATTTTAGACCAGTACCTAATCACTGTGCATAAATCATGCATTTTAGAGCATTTTGGATTTTTAGCTCTTTCGGTGTTTAATTGCATATCGTGTCCTTTATCTAGATAATTGCATAATTGGTGAAGAAGTGGATTAGGTGCTAACATTTCTCTGATCAAGGCAAGTTTTCTCCTCCCATCCTTTGAACACATTTAATCCCATAATTTGAGGAATGAAAATATTTGTTTGCAAAGTTGCATGTGAATTTAGACTATATCGGTATTTAAAATTGGGTTAAGGTAGTTATGACCTATTTGCTGCATACCCCACCTTGAATAATTGATCCTCTTACTGTTTGAACCCTTAGAAATGGTTAGAGTACACTCTTTGTGCTCAAATGGGTTTATATATGCTCTATGTGCAACTACTTGCTTAGCCATGCTTAGAAATATGCAAATGCTCATTCCATCTGTAATTAAAATGTGAATTTTGATACATGAACCCTTGCTGGAATAAAATTAATATGATGGGTATTTGCGAACTAAAATGTATAAAATGTGATTTTATACTTGGGCGGCAAGTGGTGTGCATATGGTGCTAGTTGCATACCGATAGGGGGAGTGTTTGCCCAAGTCCATAAGGACCGAACTTGTGTCACCCATTTAAAGTTATTCGTATATCCACATGTGCTAGTATGGGATGGCCTAAGCTAATTAATCTATTTAGGACTAGCCTTGCATTCTAGTAGGCCGGTGTGTATGAGTTAGTCGATAATTCTGAGGAATTAGTCGATGATTCAGAGAAACTTTCTATTTGCCCCGACGTGGTAGTTTAGGTGACTAAGTCTATCCAATACAACGGTATTGTGCCACGTGGGTGGGTTCCCGTTGTGTCCGCCACCACGGCGTTAAGTTTAAGGCGTGGGCCCGCCACTTAACGGTTCTAGGCATATTCCAAGTATGCCTAGGATGGAGGAACACGTATCGTGTTGGTGCAAGGCTAGGTTCTAAGTTGTGTAAAGGCTTCGTTATGACCTCTAGATCACATTCGACATGAAGAGTGTGATGGAGTCTTGCAAACTCAAAACAAACTAGAGAGTTCATATCATGTGGGTAAAGCTGTACAAACTCTGCAGAGTTCTTTAAACTAATCGATTAGCCGTACTCACGGTCATGAACGCTTTGGTGATGTGTCATGAGTATAGACTTTATGTTTTAAAATGTGATCATGTGACATTGGTTTGAAATTGATAAATGTGTTGAGTTGTGTGTGTGAGGTGATATATTATGATTTGTTGTCAAAGGATGACAACCAGAGATTGATTACGATGGAATTATGATGAACTTAATATTGTAACTTAAAATTTTGTTTTGTTAATTGAAGCATCAACTCCTTTACAAAAGAATTGCGAAACAAAACTTGCTTTATGCTGAAATTGAACTACATATTGCCTTCCTTTGAATATTTGCCTTCCTTTGAATATATGCCTTACATGTAGTATGGTAGGATTGACTTGTGCTTGCCAGTACATTAACTTGTTTAATGTACGGACTCTTGCTGTTGATATAACCTTTTGTCTGCAGGTTTAGATTTAGTCTTTGAGTGATGCGGGTTCCGATTGCTGTTGATATAACCCCTAGTCGGTGTGCTTGTGATCGGGTAGTCAAGCTTCTGCTGTTCTCTGATAAGTTTATTTGGCCGGTCAGCCTATGTAATTATTAAGATGTTGTAAGTCTTAAGTTTCTTTCATCTTAGTTGTGTTTGCTATGTATAATCATGCTTAAGATGAAAGTGTGGATCTAGGGCACATCCTGGGAACTAGATTCATATGAGTATGAGTTAGGAATATTTGAGAGGTTGTAGATCTTTAGCTATTTTTGTCAAGTCTCCTGAATGTGTAACACATCTAGTCACCGCCTTCGAGTGGTTTGACGGGCACATCTCAGGCTGAAGTTGACTGACAGGCTAAGGGCCCAGCAATGTCTCCAATATTCCTCTCTCGAGGCGTCGGATGTTTCATTATGCTTGTTTAATGACTTGAATTATTCACTTCATCTCTCAAATATAATGGAAGGTCCGGAGAGCCTATGGAGAGCCTATGACAATAGCGCCGTCCACGGCGATCTTGGGCTTTCGGTTCGGCGCAATCGCCCTGCGCCGGCACCGAAGGGCTTGTGCGGAATCAGAACCAGCCTCGAAGGGGATGGTGTGGTAAAACCACCTCGCCATCCAATGGCGGTCCCACTTCGACATGGCGGCGTTCACCGGCTAGAGATCGGACCGCTCGGGGCGAACATTAAAGTTTACGCTCCCGAACACTGTCTTCTTCGTTCCAACTGGGGTAATCACCGTCTTCGAATTCACGGTGGCGAAGAATATGGCGCCGAAGAGTTCGTCGCTTGGCTCAAACCCGGAAGTCCGGCACGCCCAGTCGAAGATAGCGATCCGGACCAGCGCCGACGGGCTCAACTGCGGGAGCTCCACCTGGAAAAGGCGAAGAATCTCCGGCAACGAGTTGCACGGAAACCGGAGCCCCGCCTCAAAAAACACGGCGAAGACCACTGTCCGGTTGTCGACGGGCTTCGGTACAACGGCTTTCCCCGGGGCGAAAGCCTGTCCCTCGACTAACGCCCTAGAGCTGACCAACTTTGCCAGCTCACTATCGTTTATGAGAGAAATTCCTAAATAGGCGGTGGTGTCATCGTCAATCCGGCCGGGGTCGGGCCCCTTCGCCGAAGAGGGGTTAGGCTTGCGGGGAGCCATGACGAAGGACGTATGAAGTGGCGAAGTGTGTGTGCAGTGGCGAACAAGGGGAGTGAGTGAGAAATCTAAAGGGCCAAGGGGTGCCGTGAGAGCAAGAACGGAGAAAGAGAGTGCGAGCGGTGAAAATGGCAAGTCTGGCGGTGAAAAGATAACGGGGAAGCATATATAGCCCAACAAGGCGACGATTCGCCTACCCACCAGTAATAAAGCGCCACGTGTCGTGAGGGTAGGCGAAACGGTAAATTCCCATCGACCGAGCTACACAGTAAAAAGCCCACAAAGGGAAGGCCCATTACTGTTCCTTTCGGTCCGGTAAAAATAAAAAATATATATCACCGTCCGCAGGAGGCGAAGAGCGGCAAGTCAATACCAGCCGCACAGACAACAAACTTTATTTGCAGGAACAATGTAGGTTTCGGCAGGAGCATCGGTTGAAAGGGGGCGCCACATACCATACCACATACCACATGGTTTGCATGGTCTCGGCCGAAGCTCCAATCTCACCCTTGCCCATGAGGGGCTTGTTGGCGGTATGGCATGAGGCCCTTCGACCAAAATCTGCTGAAGGCTATGCGAGGAGTGGGGATCCAAGCCCGAAACGTCAAAGTTAGTCGGGGCTAAGCCCCCCCCATGGCGAAGACTATGGAACAAGGACGGTGAGAGGCGAAGGATCGTGCGGGTACTCTGCCAAGCCGGAGGCCTCTTGGGCGAAGGATGCAGGGCGAAGAGTATATGCCGAAGGGAGACGACTTCGCCAAAGCAAGCTTGCCCCCGCGAGGGCCGAAGAAGCCTTTTCCGGCCCATCAAGCCTAAGGGCCATTGGGCCGACGATCGCCTAACGGCCCATCAGGAGTCCATGAACCTCTATTACACTATGTATCCATGTAAATGTCCCTTTCATAAGGGTAACCATGTAAATTCCCCTGTATAACCAAAACCCTAGTAGTAAGAACCTGTAATAGGGGCTATAAATAGTCTCATAGGGCCATGAATAGGGGGATCCAAGAAAAATTCTCTAATCAATACACTTTACTTTCAACCACTGTTAAGTAACCACGTCTTTTGACGTATGCAGTTGTCGTTTCGACAATAGGAGGTTATGATTTTAAAATCAGCTGGTTGATAGTTGGCTTATAAGAATCTGGAGAAGCTGCTAAACCCGAATTTTGACATCTAGCTTATTTTCTGAATTATGTAATTATTGTTTTATATAGATTCTATGTGAAAAACTAGACTATTTAAAGAAGCTTTTGATTTCGAGAGAAGTTACCGCCACCAGAAGCTTCTCAAACTTGCTTTTTGTGTTATGTGTTGTATCTTGCTACTTCCGCAACAACTTCAACCAAAATAAATCCCCCCCAAAAAAAACCTCCTATGCCTCTCCACCATAGAGACTTGGTCTAAATATTTATCATTGAGAAATTTGATGATTTGGTAAATTTTAGACCTGCCACCCGTGATAATGACACCTGGATCAGGATGACAAAACATCAAATTCACAATCCACAGAATGGCAGATCCACAAATCCCAAGAGTATGCAATGTATATATGACATCTTGGATGGTTGTCCAAAACTATGAAATATCAAAAGCAATGCCTTTGTTCAAGCATCCTAGCATGGGCATTCAAGAAATTTGCGCACTTTACATCCCTACGGAAATCAAAGTAGATGCAATCCTCTTGTGATATGCCTACTGAATAAGTGACACTCTCGCCAGAACTGACTAAATCTTCATTGACGATACCATTTGAATGGCTTTTACACGCCATTTCCTCAAAGTCAATGTCACGGCCGTGATATTTCTGGCTTTCAGGATGCACAACCTTCACACCTTCATATTCGCAATGGAAACAACGACCTTAGGAAAGGAACATCAGTTATAGCAATAAATAAAGGATTAACGCGACGAAAAGATCAAAAAAAGGAAAACCAATGTCTTTTCTTAGAGGAGAAACCAATATGCAAGGCTACATCAACTAGGCAGTTTCTATTCCAAGGGAAAATTTACAATATGAAAAGTGGATCCATTTTACTTATCTTACCTTTTTCTAAAAGCATGGACATTATAGGACAACACTAAAAAAAATCCAAAATAATTATCAGTACAAAAGCATTTTTTTGGTGTACGTCCAATGGACGGAATGCATTGCAAATTAAAACTAATAAGTAAATAATAGATAGACACATTATTCTCTTTCTTTTTAGCAAGCATGACCTATTAATTTGGCTAAACAGACATCTTGCTTTTTTTATGGTTCTATTTTCTTTTTTCCTAGCCCTAGGTGATATCCTAATCTCTAGTAATCATCAAGCACGGTCAACACAGGCCTTCAAGAAGCAGCTGGATTGTCAGAATATTTTAATTTTAACCAAAACATGAAACCCTGTTTGGTCGGATGCATTTTGAATTTCTGATGCCTTTTCTTCTAAGGCATGTAATTATGCAGAATAGTCTATCATATAGTTACACAAACCATCGCAACATGCTGTATATGTAATGCAACGGCTGCAACTGGCATGCTTCTAGCTCCATGATCTAGTGTTGTAGAAATATGCATATAGAGAGAAGAGAGCATACCAGGATGTCCCATGATTGGCCAGCACAATGGTTCATCGGTTATATCATTGTCGTTGCAACACTCAGCAAAGAAGAGTGTTGGAATTACTGTGTCAGAAGAATGTGATCCTCTTGGGCTCGCCAAAAAGTTGACATGAGAATACTTGGATTTGTACCGGATCTTGCATGAACTATCACCATAATGGAGAGGAGAAACACCAGACTTGATAACATATGGATTCAAGCCGCAGATAACATGAAGATCATATTCCGGTCCCTATATAACAGGGCAAATAAGAATCATATGCACTTATTATTTATTTATCTTTTTTTAAAAAAAAATCTATAAAGGGTAAAAGGGGAAGGAAACAACTTATAGACCTTAGTTCGTTGTGTGTATTTCTTCAGTGCAGCATTCACCTTGCTGCAAATGAAATTCTGCTCAGCCTCGAAATCTTGCTTTATGTTCGACAATAACCTGGATGCACCCTCGGTAAGTACCGGAACTGTCTCAAAAGAACAATGGGGAGAAGTGGATGGTTCTTGTGATAACATCAGCGAGAGCAGCTGCACATCAAAGCTACCACAAGCTTTCAGTGGCAATGGCCCGAAGAAAGCTGACAGGTAAAAATTCACCAGCGCATCACGATCCGGATGATGCGCAGCGGTGGCCGCGGCCTTAAATCCAATGCCCCTGTCGAACTTGTCCTTCATGGCGTGGCCTTCTTGCCCTGCCATTTCGATTGCTCTCTGTAGATTCACCTCTGCCAAGAGCAGGTATCGAATGGCTTGCTGTCTGGAGACCGTAGGAAAGCAGGCGCGGAGATAAGCAACAAGGCCAAGGAGAGATCTGCAAGCAGTAGAAACAAGGGTTCTTGAGCAGATCATGGCCACTTCAGAGTACTCTTCCTCTGCAGGAAACATTGTGTCATACCAAACGGTGTTGAGAACGATGTTGTGAGCAGGGTTCATGAAGGGGCCATAGCAGTGGCCAGCCTTGAGGAGTCCCCTGTGGTAGCGCCGCTGCAAGAACTCCCTCGGCATCTTGGCAAGAACTTGGAGGTACAGTCCATAGATCTTGTCGACGACGATGTTCTTCAGAGATTTTGTGCGCACGAATGGTGGCTGCTTGACCTTGTTCTGGAGGAATTGGGGAGCAGTAACTCCGGCGAGGCCTGGAGATCTTGGTCGGTGGTTCGTGAGCAATCCATGGAGGTTGACAACGTCGGTGCAGGAGAGGCGGCCTTCTTTGGCTAGGATCCCGGAGACCTGCTCCATCCGAGCGGCGAGGGAGAACGACCTGTTGACGAACGCTCTGGGCTTGGGTTGCCACGCCGCGACTGCGCGCATCTGAGCGCGGTCTTGGTGGTCCGGGACGCGAGGATGAAGGCCTTGGTGTTACGATCCTCCTCGACGAGCCGCGCGGCGGCGAGGAGGTCGGCGTTGGCCAGGCGGAGGTATTGCAGCGCCTCCCAGGTCGGGAGGTAGGGGAAGCAGGCGACGAGGAAGGCGACGAGCGCTTCGAGTGACCGCAGCGGCATCCTCATGTCGCGGAGGCGGCTGTGGTTGGGCGAGTGCCAGGTGACGTCGCTGGTGTCGGCGACGATCCGGGAGAGCGCGCTCCGCCGTCTCCTCGCCGCTGTCTTGCCGTCGACGGGACGGCCAAGAACCATGGGCTTGCGCTCCGGGAGGCGCTTGTAGGAGAGGGTGTTGACGACGATGTTGGAGACGGGATCCGAGAAGCCGGCGCAGAGGCCGGCCTTGAGGAGGCGCGGGATCAGCGCCGGCATCTCCTCCACCGGCAGCCGGTCCAGCGCCGCCGCGTAGTGCCCGTTGATGGCATCCAGCAGCGCCGATCTGTTCCGAACGATACGATCCTCGTGGTCGTATCTGTAGGGGCGCTCCGCGAGGGGGTCTCTAGCGGCGCCGCTCCGGCGACGTTTGCCGGCCATGATCGGAGAAGCGGCAGAGCGGTTCGCTCAGGTTTGCCCTTGCTCAATTAATCAAAATCGATTCCTTTTAGAAACTTAAAATCCACAGAGCGCCAGTGACTGCCGCTACCTCGTTGCCGATCTGCAGCGACCCCGCCACCGACGTGCGCCGCCTCGCTCCTGTTGCTCGCGGCTCGTTGCGATGCCTCACGCGCCGATCCGGTTTATTCCGGTGGGCACTCTCCCGGCTTGAAGCCCAAGCGTACGTCCCGAGTCCCGACGACCGCCCACTCTGATGGGCATGGGCCTAGAGGTTTTAGGAAAGGAAAAGGTACACCGAAGGTCCCTCAACTTGTCATCGAGTTACAAAATCATTCCTCAACCACAGAACCAGATACTGGACATCCCTCAACTAATAAAACCGTTCACTTTAGATCCTCCGGTGGTTTTGACCCTAGTTTTATTCCACATGGCGGCTGAGTTAGCGTGAGACCCATGTGGGCTACACATGTCAGCATTGCCACATCAGCCTTCTCTCTCTTTTCCTCTGTTCTCTCCCATCCTCATCTCTCTCTCTCTGTTCTCTGCGACTGCGAGGCTGGCAATGCGAGGCGGGAGAGGAGGAGGGCGTCAGCGACCGGCGGCCGGCGACCGGTGACCGGCGACGCGACGGCACGCGGGCGGCCGGGGGAGGGGCGGCGCGTAGGCTCCCCTGCCGGCCGCCGCCCACGAGGTGGCGGCGGGGGACGAGCTACGGGGAAGGGGCGGTGCGCGGCCAGTGAGAGAGGAGGAGGGCGGCGTTGTACCTGCTCATCTGGGACCACCCGACACTGCAGGTCCAGGAGATGCGGGCGGCAGTGGCGCACGCGTCAGACTTCCCGGCGCTGCCGCTAGCCCTCGTCTGGGACGTGCTCCGCGCCAACATCTTCGACTAGCTCAGCGCCACCTTCGGGTTCAACGGGAATGCGGGAGCACCTCGTGCTCCTCCTCGCCAACGCGCTCCGCATGGACCTCCTCTACACGGCGATGTACCTGCTCATTTGGGGGTAGGCCGCCGTGCTTCCCCATCGCCGCTGCTGGCGGTCGCCGTCGAGGCACCGCCCTCCTCCTTTCCCACCGCCCGCGCGCTGCTCCTCCGTCGGCCGCGTTCCGCCCCTCCCCCGACACCGCCTCGTGGGCCTCGTGAGCGGCGGTCGGCGGGGGAGCCCGCGCGTTGCTCCTCTTCCCGCCGCCCGCCCACAGCTCCTCCCCCGGCCGCCCGCGCGCCGTTCCTTCCCCCGCCGCCGCGTTGCCCGTCGCCAGTCGCCGACACCCTCCCCCTCTCCCGTCGCCAGTCGCAGAGAACGGAGAGAGAAAGAGATGAGGATTGGAGAGATGAGAGGAAGAGAGAGAGAAGGATGATGCGGCAATGCTGACATGTGGGGCCCACGTGGGTCCCACGCTGACTCAGCCGACATGTAGGATAAAACCAGGGTCAAAACCACCGGAGGATCTAAAGTGAACGGTTTTGTTAGTTGAGAGATGTCCGGTATCTGGTTTTGCAGTTGGGGGACGATTTTGTAACTCGATGACAAGTTGAGGGACCTTCGGTATACTTTTTCCTTTAGGAAATTCAAGTAGGGCCAGCATATGTGGGCTGGCCACTACCTGCCTGATCAGGTGGGCGGTAACACTAGCTGCACAACGCTGCTCTTCTCTCTATCTTCCCCCCCCCCCTCCTGTTTCTCTATTTTGCTTTCACAGATTCATCAGGATAAAGGAGTAATACAGTACTCGGTATATGATTTTAAAACTGAGTGAAGTACTTAAATGAATCGATTAATCTGTAATATATAAATTAACTTTGCTCATGATTGCTTGAGTAGTTGTTGTCGGAAAAATGTTTTAAGTATTCTGGTAGTGATGAGTACGTCACTTTATCAGATACGCTCATAATTTCACACGTTACAATGATAATTTCAAGTTTAAGTCCAGTTCAGCCTCCGGAGACAGCACTGACTTCAAATGGACCTAGCGTCTTCATGCCAACTCCGATTTGGGTGATCTTGGACTTCGTGGAAAGCTTATCTCGCTACCTTTCAAACGCATCTGGTCTCGTGTCCAAATTCATCTCGAGTCAACGGGAATCGCCAAAATAAGACAGTGCTGTTGCTGAAACCGAACTTGGGCCTTAGCCTTGTAATAGACTAGGCCCATCTCGGAAGTGTCTCCCTCCACCTCCACGAATTAGCACTTAACCCTAACTTTATTTTCCTCTATAAATAGCTTTGTACATTCTCAAAAACATTTGGGTTTTGTTTAGTTGAATTTTGCCAAGTGCCATTCACCTTGTATTTAGTCCTCGCTCGATTAGTCGGCGACTATTGATTCAGAGCCTCCAATAGTTGGTGTGTTGATTTGCCGGGTCGATTAGATCTACCACTTCAATCGCAACTATTTCTTTGTGCTTAATCACCTATTCGCAATATTTAGATTGCATCTTATCTTGTTCTTGTAGTGTTCTCTCGTTTGCATTGCAGGGATCATCAACCGCGCGTCACGGTTGGTACGACATCGTTTGTGGTGTAGCGATTGCACGGCGTTCTGGACTTGTTCTGGTTGGTAGCCACGTCGCAAACGTCACACTCGATCAAAGCGAGGGTTATCCCCTCACCAGAAGATTGGGCCACGAGAGAGAGCATCATCAGTTGGTATCAGAGCTTCAGTAGTCTGGTGAGGATTTTAGTTTTGTAATTTTTTTCCCATCATTCACTATACAGCCGCACCACTTTTTCCTTTACCAAACATTAGTTTTGAGCCTTGCAATTTTCATTCAATTTTGCTTTATTGAGTTTTGGTCCACTGTCGTATCAAGATCTGGTCTTAGCCCTAGTTTCATCTTGGTTTGGGTTTGCATCTGGTTGTCTCATCGGTTAGTTTTGTTGCGGTCATCTCGGTTGTGTTTGTAGAGTTTGAGAAAAGAAAAAAAAAGTATCCGAGTTTCCTATTTAAGTCAAAGATTGACCTCCAATTTTATTGCGCATGCATATGCATGTGTAATGGTGTAATTTCCATCCACGACTTGCTGATTCCTTGCGCATGCAGATCGCGGGCCACTTTAATTTTCCGTGAAAATTTCCTGTGTGCGCATGCAGCCTAGCAGGTTCCGTTGAGTTAGTTGGTATCGGTAATCTTTTTTTTTACCCAGTTTTTTTTTTCGTCTGTTAGCCACTGTTTGATAAAGAAAAAGAGAGATAAAAAAAAAGAAAAAGCCAGCGTGGTGCAAAAACAGAAAAAAAAGGCCGCACCAAAAAAAATAGAAAAGAAAGAAAAAAATCAAAAAAAAAGAGAAAAATATCAGAAAAAGAAAACAGTGTGGCATTTTCTTTGGTTTTTTTTTTGAGAGAGTTGTGTGATAAAATCAGTTGTTTCTAGTCCGAGTGTTAAGCATTTGTTTGCTTGAGCTAGGATTGAGTCTAGGCAAGGCCAGCAACGTTGACCAGTACTTTGGACTATTATTCAATTTCACAAATCTGTTTGATTTTTTCTATTCCTTGTGATATAGTTAAACCTACCAAGATCCACATATTACTAACCTTTACAGGTCCGGCCTTGCAATCGCTCCACTCATCAAGCATGTCATTGTGCCACGAACCAGCCACGGTGATTGACCTGTTTTGCATTCTTTGAGGATATTATAATAATTTGGTATATGCTTAAGTGTTGAGTGCCTTCAAAAGCTCCACATATCTATAGATTGTTAGGAACTGACACTTTCTTGTGAGTTTCTTTTGCTTGATAACGATGTCAGGTACAAGTTCCGACGAACCAACACTGGAGAATCTAGCGCATAAACTGAAGGGCATGGAAAATTGGTATGAAGAGTTGATGCGTAATAGTAAATCATACAAGGAAAGCACAGATAAACATTTAAAAACCTTAAGTGAAAGCCTGGTAAAAGTAGTGGATCAAATTGAGAAAATGAATCAATCCCATAAACAATTAACTGAAAACATTCAGAATATGAATATTGGACATGAAAATATTGTGTGACGCATTGGTTTACTTGAGGCTGCAGGTGAAGAAGGTGCAGGTGCCACTGCTCATCGACACCAAAGATATGACGATGAAGACGAAGAGCAATCTGTTGCTGATGATGAGGAGGAAGACGAGAGTGTTGGAAATAAAAGACAATGTCGAGTTAGGGACAAAGATGATCCTTTATCTAAGGTAAAATTTACTATGCCTTCTTTTAATGGTAAGTTTGAGCCTTCTGTTTATCTAGATTGGAAGTTAGCTGTTGAGCAAAAATTCTCTTGCTATGATTTTCCTGATAATAAGAAAGTTAAAGCTGCCAGTAGTGAATTTACCTCCTTTGCATCTCTATGGTGGAATGATATATGTGGTAGAGGACTTAGACCTAGAACATGGGATGATATGAAACGTACAATGAGGTCTAGATTTGTTCCTTCTTACTATGCTCGTGACATGTTAAATAAACTACAACTTTTAAGACAAGGTCCCAATTCTGTAGAAACATACTATCAAGAGATGATGTTTGCTTTGTCA